TACATTCTAAATCATGAATAATTGTTATTAATTGATCATAAAGTAATAAAAATCATATTGTGCCTCATTACCTAAGCATTTTATGAGTATGTTGACTTTAAAGGTATAAAAGGTATATCTATTTTAAATTTTTAATTTATAGAAATGTTCAGAAATAAAGAGATACCTAAATTTAAATAAAAATCTTTTGCAAATAATGTCATTTGAAACAAAAATATATATTATAGAAAATAACTTTGTAAAACACTTGAAATTCTTAAATAGTTTATTAATTTATTTATCAAAACGTTTATATCATTTTTCAGCATGTCAAGTATTTCCATAACATGATTTGCGAAACGATAGGAATTCACAGAACTTTTATGGAATTTAAAAAATTCATGTTGAATGTTGTAGGCTCCACATGTTAAAATGAAACAAATTAGTCCTATCGCGTGTTTGTAATGTATTTTTAAGACATTGTCTTTTTTACATATTTCCACTGTTCTGTATTTGTTACTGCAGTTCATATCTTGATATTCCATTCGTACTGCACAATTCTCATAAAGGATAATACACCTTCTGTACCGGTGTCCGATATGAATCAGTGAAAGGGAAATGTAATAAACTGCTAAGAATCGGAGAATTTAAATTATTGTGTGTATTCAGTCAATATACTGAGCGAGCCAGCGGAAGCCCTCACCATATCCTTGTCTTTTTAACACTGAGCACATAAATAATTCCAATGGACGACCAGGTATTTCATTGCGAGAAATTTTTCCCTAAAATTCGTCTATTTTAATAGCATTTCTAAATAAGAATAATTGTTCAATTTTTTATTTATATTACATACCTTTCCTGTTGTTTGACCATACAAATTAAAATAGTTTCTGAGTTCATCTTCTGATGCTGCACCTGGCTTATCAATTTTGTTACCTAGCACTAAAACTGGACATGCACTGAGTTGTTCATCAGTTAACAATGCATCAAACTCAGCTTTTGACTCAGGTAACCTTGATCTGTCACTTGCATCCACAAGGAATACTATTGCATCCACAGCTGGGAAGTAGTCTTTCCAAACTCTTCTTGCTATAATAATTTAAACCATTAAGTTTAGAACATTTATGTAATATTGGACTTTGTAATTATACCTTGAGGATGTCCTCCAAGATCAAATGTTGTGAACCTCATGTTTCCAATAGACAGTTCTTCTGAGGCTGAAATACACAAGTGCATGTATTAGTACAAGATTATAGGATAATTAATTCAATTTATTTTATTAAAGAAAAATGTTAAAACGTAATATCTGAAATTATTATATATAAAACGTAAGTTTTATACTATATAACAATAAATTAAGATTAATATTGATTACTTGGGTGCAATGTAGGCACATGTTGAGCTAGTCGATCGTCTTTGAGCATGTGAAGCAATGTGGTTTTGCCAGCATTATCCAAACCAAGGAACAGGAGCTTGCCACTCTTTTTCCAAAGTCCTAAGGATGAGTTAAAACATATAAAAAATAATAAGCAATTTATAGAGATAATGTTACAATGCTAATAACTGTCGAGAAAAGTGTTCCTTTCTATACACTCATTCTATGGTAAAGAATATACAACATTCTGTTGTATATACAACAAACAAAAGAACCTGTATTTTGAAAGTAATTATAAAACCTGCACTCACCAAGATAATTTAAAACTCCTGCAAACCAGTCCCAAATGAACATATTTGTGGATATGAGTGGACGTCACGTTCACTATGTACTAACTACTGAATGACTCTGCAACAATGAAAAGTTGACAAGATTATCTCTCTCTCTCGTCTGCAATTTTACAATCAAATGAGATTTTTAACCTATTTTAATTTGGTACAGTCCAGAATGTATATATATTAAAATCAAATATATTGCAACAATATTAACAAATAATATAAAACAGTAGCAAATCTTTAAGCCAAAATAAATAGCAAATCAGTACCGCTTGTTACACTTGAAGACAAGAATAGAATGTAGCATATGATCAGTACACGATTACAATCAGAATACGACGGACTCACCAGATCTCAACCACTAATAACAGTGATAGAACCTTTCGTTCGCCACCACCAAAATGCAAAATTGCAGACGGGTCAGAAAAGCGTTCGCATTGTATAACTACGTCAAACCTGTTACTTCAACACTGGATTAACGTACCCAACACGAAAAAATACGCGAAGATGCAGGAGACGGAGAAAAAGTGACTTTCTTCCTACAGAAAGCGCAGCTTTAGCGAGCCTAGTTGGCTGGCAGTTGGCACTGATGACGTCTACTTCCGTCAGCCATATTGTCTGAATAGTGCTGTTTCACAAGCGCGCGTTTTAAGGTCAATTACTATTAATTTTATACAATTCTTGAACTTACAACTTTGAACTGGTATCGTATTTTTAATATTTCCTCTTTTTTACTAATGTACATGATTATAGCTTATGATTGCAATAAAAAAAATCATTGTGTATATTTCAATGTTATGTAAAAGCGCGTACATACAGTGAAGGCACATATGCAGTAGATACTTATATACATATAAGTTTTTCGTATAAAAAAATTTTACGGTTTTATCACTTTAAATGCATTAATGTATTACTTTCACGGACTTAGGAATAGAGTCTGTGATTCCTTTAGTATTAGAAATTATAACATCCCTAGTATGTATCTGATGAATTTAGAAACTTTGTACCTATACTCTGTTCGTAGTTACTTTATATGTACCAAACAGTAATCATGTCGGCAGGTAAGGTATTTAGATTATAGTTTTTCTACTAAATTAAATAATTAAATATATTTATAATAATGTAGCTATAAAAAGTAATTTTCTGATATATTTTCCTTCTAATAATATCCGTATCACAAAACCGTCCGCATAATATGCTATGACAATATTTGTAACCTCAACGAAATAGCGAATAGTTTAGACGAAAGTATCTATGCATAAACATTTATAACTTTTTATAGGGTGGTTGATGAACAGTTTTCGTTCCACTTACAACCATATTTCTGGGTGCAATGTGAATTGTTTATTTATGCAAACACGAGAATATGCAGCTAGGAGAGGGACAAGAGAAAAGAGAGAAGCCCTGAAGAAAGCCAGGAAAAGGACAGTTCAAAAAGTTCAAAAAGTTGGATATATTCCAAGCGGGAAAGAAGCATCTACAACGTGAGTATACCATATTGTGTATTCTTAAGATTTCTATAATTGCTAATTAGATAATTTTACAAAATTGTAGTAAGAAAAAAGTCATATTACAGTCACCTCTCACGTTAATAGATGACAGCTGGAAAAAGAAACCAGTTGATAATGTATGGATTTTAAAATATCATCGAAAACCACTTTATGCTTTCAAGGAAGCTATAGAATGTCATCGTGAAACAAATCATCCTACTATGTATAACAGACCTGATGCATATGTTAATGCCATATTTGCATTAAATTTACAGGTAAGAAATTGCAGTTTTATAAATAGCTAAACAAATGCAGAGTAATTAATTTATGCAACAATTTATTTTTTAACAAAACTGTCTTGTACGTAACTCTCATATCAGCGTGAAAAAAAAACTAAGTTCCTCGAAAAACTTACAAACTTAGTAGAAACACCACATCCATTCGATCAACAAACCAACAGGACAATATTAGCATTTTGTAAAAAAAAAAGTGACATTGAAGATGCTATGGCAGCTGGTGCTAATCATGCTGGTGGGGTTGAAATTATTAGACAAATTCAAGTAAGTCAGCATGAATGTTTATTGAAATCATAGAAGATAGTAAACTTTTTTTGTAATTTTTTAGAATGGAAGTTTTGCTTACAAAGAGTACAGTTACATAGTAGCTCACGTAGATATTCTACCTGATTTATTGTTAATCAGGGGATTATTGAAACTCAAATTTCCACATGTGAAAATAGGTAAATAATTTTGTTTGAAGTATCAATTTTGTAACTATCGCTGTATATAATAATTATAAATTTATTTGTTAGGTAACTTGGGTACTGACATGGGCAACCTTGTTAAAAAATTTAAACAGGGAATGGTATACAAGTTGAAACCAAATCCTCACTTTAAAGAGTTTGGAACAATCAATTGCGCATTTGGCACGGTAAATTTGAATTTAAACTATATTTCTGCAATTCATGGAATTTTTTAAATTTAAATATAATACATTATTGATTTTTAGCTTAATATGGATATAGAACACTTGAAAGCAAATTTTGATGCTCTTATTAAAAACATTTATTCAGCGAGACCAAAACGTGATGCACAATTTATATTAAGGTACTCAAAGTATTTCTTATATAGACACATATATATGTATAATAGAGATTATTTAGCTTAGTTTTTGTAGCATTATTAGCATATGTCTAGAATTTCATAAATGTTTACAAATACTTTTTAGCGCAGAGATTACAAGTCCGCCATCTACAGAAATATTTAAACTTCAACTAGATGAATTTCTACCTAAACAACCAGTAAAGCAAGAGGCAGAAGAAGAAGAAGAAGGAAAAGAGAATATTGAAGACGCAGTTATTGCTTCACAATGAATGTATATCAAATGAATAAAATAATTATGATTAGTTACAAAATCTTCGTTCACCTTTATTGTGTATTTACATCCTTGTTAAAAGGAAAATATATTTTATTTTAACGTTACATGCAAATTTATTCTACTACAATAAATTTGAAAATAAATCTGAAATCCTATCGAAATTAGTGGCCAGCTGTTATAATAGGCCAGCTGTGCAACTGGCAGACCAGAGACAGAGTCTAAGAACGCGAAAGACCGAAGAATAAGACGAAGCCAAGTGAAGCAAAGGAAAAGAGAATGGAGAATGGTGAGTGGCCGTGGTGGTGAGTCTGGTGGAGGGGCATTGGCTCACCTACCTGCCGGTCGAGAGCTCAGTCGGTGCCCGCTAGGTTGAAAATCCATCGCTTCTTCTGTTCGTCTTGCACGTGACTCCTCAGGGTTTCATTAAAAAGGCGCGAAAAAAGTTGAGAGCGGAAATTTAAAACACTCGGGAACGGACAGCGTCGCGGGATAATTTTTGGTCAGTGATTAACGAAAACGTCCGCCGATTGATCTCATTCAAATCGCCGGTGAACACCGTATTCCGGTACACGGTTTGTTGGAAAAACGTACAATCGCGCTTTTCGCGTGCAGACCCAATAGCAGTGCGTGTGAGTGCGCGTCCTTACACACGCACGGTCTTACTAGTGTGCCCGAATACGTGTGTGTGTTTATTACCTGTGGTGATTTGTGTTTGACTGTGTGGCGATAAACCACGCCGATTTTATGTTGCATTGAATTTATTGGCGTTTGATTGTCGGATTGTTATTATCAACCACCTTGTAGACATGTCTAGGCTGGACAACAGTAGACAGCGGCTTTAGGTGGTCACCGGCGCACAAGACACATATACGCACACAACGATCTCGAACACCAGTATGGTAAGTACAAGGTTACGTTAACTTCGAAATGCGTTCGATGGTAAAATCTAAGAACACGTAGATATTTCACGATAAATTGGAGAACATATAGGGAAAATTCTTTTCTTTATTTTTTTCTTTTGTTTTTATTTTTTCGTTTCGAATTGAAGCAATCACGGTAGAGATACATTATTCAACATTCTACGGTGAGTGAAAGGACAACTTTCCATGCGCGAGATCGAATGCAGACGAAATTTTACAAGTCCGTTATACTCATACGCGTTTAAAGGGCAGTCAAGAGAAATTATACACTATCATTTATACATACAATGGAGGCTATGAGAACTTTGATGTCTTCATTTCACTCATCGCACCGGCAATAAAGGGGGATAGATAGAGATTCATCCTATAAGGTACGTTCTTTCATTTTAGAGAGCAATAATGTACATGCTTCATTAAAGATAACTACGGTACACTATTATGATTTCGTTGCGAGATAAGTATATATCCGTTGCTATAATGAGCCGCCGTAACGAATAATTAAGTCGGGAAAAAGTGCGTAGGTTCATTGAGCTGCGAGTCTCGTGGAAACTCAGGTTCGGTGCAACTGTTCTTTCACGGAATCTGCACTGAAAGACAAAACTCGATCGCGTGTGCCTGGCCGGTTGCATTTTTGGAATCACATCGTTGCGTGTTCCTTATCGTACGAGCTTTGAGCCAAATTTAGGAGTGCGGGCATGTCGGTGATGATCGTTACAACGGAACCTTCGCCGCGTATCCTTCAATTACGGCACCATGAAATTTCGCCGCGCTCAACAAGTGTATTTCCTTATCGGCTCGATGAGATCAGTGTGTCTAGTCGAAGTTATTTTGCTTGTGCTACATGCGAATTTAGGGCACCTTACGAAGACTTAATCGCGTAAACATCAATTCCTATTACGGACTATAATAACACATATTTACCGGCCAAGTAAATATAATACGATCTTCCATGACAAAGTTTGACATATTGTAGATTGACTACAGTAAATTCTCTCCAATTATCCGTCAGCTTGTGTAAAGAAAAATGGATAATTTGGGAAGAGGAGATACGATTTTTATAGTTGTTGAACGAGCCGCGAACCTCGACTAATCGTATCTCCTCTTTCCAAATTGTCCATTTCTGTTTACAAGCTAAGGGACAATTGGAATTCAAATTACATTCAAATTGGAGCAGTTGTTTCTGGATGGAGGCTATTTACCATGAAGAACCCGAAAGGTCGTTGGATTAACTTTATTTCTTTTGGAATTTCTACATTTTTAAAGCTTAAAAGAAACATTTTTTCTAAACACTATTTTCTTTTAAGCATCATGTATCGTGTTATCAAGTGCTTACATCATCAAGTGCATACTTTTGCATTTTTCTTACGTGCGTTATGCCTACATTATTTTGAATAATTTAATGATTTAATATTTTGCCGAAACATTATGTGTTAGCGATATTTAAAAAAAGAAAGTGGACGAAGAGATGCTTGATTCACATTTGCTTTTCGATCTTAACAAGATCGCATTCACGAATTTGTTTACGCATATTTTGTACTTTGAAAAGCGGACGTAAATGTGTCTGAGTCTAAAGTTGATTGACCACAGGTCACGCATGTTTAGATACTACGAAATTGCCTGAAAGTTGGTGTGAAATGCTATCCTTTCTTATGCAATTGCACGCATTCTTAACACTGTCATTAAACACAATGAACTTAATGAAATTTTAATGAGAAATGAACGCTACTTCGCTGTTGCTACAGCTCAGTAGTAGTATCGGCATTACAAAGTCCATTACAATAAGCACATAAACGTGTCTGAATTTTTTTGGACCACCGTGCGTGCAGATTATAATAATTGACTTCAGCAGCAAACAATATCGTTAGATTTACTTACGTCGATTCGTTATCCAACGAGCTAAGCTCTGTAACCGTAAACGTAATTTTTTCACCCAATTAGATACACGATACCGTACTATAATCCGATTGCAAATTTTTCGCTCGGTAATCCGTATTGGGAAACAAAATTCTGGGCAAGTCAAAAAACACGTGACGTTCCTAAGCATTTCTGAAACGCATTGGCAGAACAAGAAAAGTTATAATTGGATACTAAATACTCTCTTCGAGGCAGCTTTCACAAAAATTACATGTGTAATTGCGCGTGTAAGATCTGGTGGTACTGGATCTTGCACAATTGCATACGATCTCCTAACGTTCATTTATCAAGTAATACAATTTACTCTCACGGCTAGGGCTAATTAACTTCGAATGTTGTAAAACAAAAATTGTACCTTTCTACTAATGCGGGGTAATTCCCTCGAATCATTCTTCCTTCGAATAAAAGAATAAAAAGTGATATCGTTAATTTGATCATGTTTCATGACGATTATGTGATCACGTAATGCGTGAAAATCCATGAACGATCAAGGGGAACGTCAACTTGCGAAACAGTATTCTCTTCCGTGGAACAATTAATTAGAAAGTATACCATAGCTTACCGAGTCATTTTGCTCTATTATATCTCGATTAATGCTTCTGCAATTTATCTTGTTGTAGTGTCGTTACCACCCACTTTCTCGATCATCAATACCCCTTACCGTTCCATTTGTTTCTGGGAAATGCAACGGGATAATTATTATCCAGGTTCATGATCTAACGATCCGTCAACGATCGTTCATGGGAAAACTGTTATACCGGAAACTGTGTGATCTGTTTCTTTTTTTACCATTAAGAGTGTACTCGCGATCTTTGAACTCCCATAAACTTCGTTATCTTTAAATTACGAGTTACGACGCCTGGGCAACTTTAGAAACATTTCAATTACGATAGTCGTGGAACACATCGAATATTTATATGAAATTTCGTTTTTATAACATAAGCTAACATAAGCTCTATCAGTCAATAGAAAGTCCTATCCAAGTAATTACAGTAATCATTTTCACGTTTAATACATGAAAGTTTGAACAGATCTGCGTGCATTGTTCTATTCTTCTTTTAATTTATTAATGGGATCCAGAGTCCATTTTAGATACTTTTTGCCATAATATATTGCCTACGAATACGTTTTTCACGTTTCCATCGGTGTACGTTTGATGAGATACTGTTATTGAGGAAGTGTGTGTGTGTGTGTGTGTGTGTATGTGGATGAAGTATTAGTTATCCTTACGTAAGTTCCATTCATTTACTATATTCGCAGTACGTTTTGTATCACGATGTTAGTTACATGCAGTGTCCTCTTCCTGCATCGATTTCGTTTACACCTATTTGTGAACTTTTTTCATGGAAACTTCCTGTTCCAGTAACTTTTGTGAACACTTTTCAAACGTCACATCGACCGCACATATGCTATCATTAACCAGGACTGCTCAACGTAATTATATATACTATACCAAAGCAACTTCTATAATGTTTCTACTCTTCTTCGTTTTTCCGAACGTCAAACACATTCCTGACGCATATGGGTGTTGCCGATACAATCTTGTAACGGTCGTTGTCGTCGGAGCATATTCCGTGTCTAGAACTCTATTAGCGAAATCATTCCGCTAATATCGCATTATAAATACGTCGATTAATTTTAGTAGCTCAACTTTCCGTAGAATATGAGCCGTTTATTTTGATAGTGGCATAAGTCACTTTTTCAAAAAAATCGAGTTAATGGTAACGCTAATTACAATTGAACGGTATCTTTTCATTTAAAAAAAATTTGCAATCAATAAGTTGAGAGCTATTGAGATTTGTTCGAGAGAAGTTTTGCTAATTAACGGCATAACAAATATGTTTATTTTGAAAGTGGCGTAAGTCGCTGTACTCGGGAAATTAATTGCGGGGCTTAGTGTAAAAGAAATAGAAACGTGTGATAAGTGTGTGCGAAGTATTGTTTTGAATTATTTTTAGTATTTTTAAAAAAGTTGTGATCACACTGGACTTATTTTTATAAGTGCGAAAGATTAGTGCAGTTTTGTAAATTATATTATAGTGATGTGGCGGCTACCTCCAGACCCGCCAGCAGATGGCTATAAAATGTTTTATAAACTAACTTTAGATAAAAAAAGATGATTTCTAACTTTGGAT